GGACACCCCCGGGGGCACCACGTACGTGTTTCAGCTCGAACAGGACCTTGCGCGTCAGCTCGATGCGTTTGCGGTTCACGTTCTTCACGGCCACCAGGTTACCCTGGGGGGACACGAGGGGTGGGGACACGGGGGTGGGGACATTGGGGACACTGGGGGTGGGGACACGGGGGGTGGGTGTCCCCCCCGGCCCCGTACCTTGTAATAGGCGGTCTTGGCGTACACCTGGAACTGCCCCTCCGTGGTCATCAGCGAGCCGTAGTTGGAGCCCCTCTGTGCGAGGGGTGTGGGGTGAGCCCGGGCACCCCGATCCTCCCGTCCCGCCACCCCGAGCGGGGCTGGGGGTGACTCTGGACCCCCGGTGCCCCCCGGATCCCCCCGGATCCCCCGGTGCCCACCAGGGACAGCGTGAGTTTGCTGCCGGCGCTCCGCAGATGTTTCTCCAGGCTGCTCATCTGCACGTCCTCCCAGCGCACCCGCCACAGCTCGGCCGCCAGCTCCTTCTCCAGCTGCAGCTTCCTGCGCCCGGGGGGGCCCGTGAGACCCCGGCCGCGCCCCCCCGGCCCGCCCCGCCCCGCCCGGGGGTCCCCACGCACCTGTAGATGAAGAAGGAGGTGGCGGTGATGGCCATGAGGATCAGGCTGACCACGAGGGACAGGATCTCCAGCGTGGACAGCGAGGCTGCCGGGCAGAGGAGGGAGCGGTCAGGGCCCGGGGGGGGCCGGGCGGGGGTCTGGCGGTTCCCCCCCCCACCCCTCACCTTTGCGGCACTTGGGGTCGGTGCCCTCGAAGCCACAGGGGGGGACATCGGACGGGACCGCGTTCCCCGGCCAGTGGATCTCTCGGCCCGGAACCATCTGGATCTTCTTGGTGGTGCCGTTGTAGTTGGCCACGATCTTTGGGGTGGGGCGGCAAGGAATGGGTGGGGGGGAGCCCCGGGACCCCGCCCCGGGCCCGGCTGCCCCCGCCCCGGGGCTCACCTGGAAGTTCCCGTGCTCGGGATCCATGTCCCACAGGGAGTAGTCGCTCTCCCGGTCCCCCTGCTCGTCGATCTTGAGGAAGCCGGTGACACCTGGGGAGGGCGGGGGAGGGGCTGGGGGGACCTCGATGGGGGGCTCCGATCCCAAAACGTCATCCTGGGAGTGGGGCTGGGACAGGGTGGGATGGGGTGGGGTGGGATCCATGGGATGGGACGGGGCCAGGCCTCACCGTAGAAGGTGCGGTTCCACATCTGGCGGGTGATGGCCGAGGCGTCGCTGACGGAGCCGCCGCGCTCCAGGGTCTCGTTGAGAGCCTGGGCGTAGAGCAGGACGGCGTCGTGGAAGGCGGCGGCGATGAAATTCATCTGGGGACACGGGGACAGCTCGGGGACAGGACCCAGCTGGGGCTCCCTGTCCCCGGATCCATCCCGCGTCCCCCAGCAGCTCCAGCTCCATCCCGTGTCCCCGTATCCCCTTGTCCCCGTTGTCCCCAGCTCCATCCCGCATCCCCCAGCCCCACCCGGTGTCCTCCTCGTCCCCAGCTCCCGCTGTCCCCGGTGCCCCCCGCCATCCCCGCGGCTCCCACCAAGCCGTCCTTCATGGAGAAGTTGAAGTGGTCCCGCGCCTCCTCCTTGAGCCGCTCCAGGAAGGGCCGGTACTCGGGGTTCTCGGGCTCCTTGTAGGTGATGATGGTGACAGCCTGGGATGGGGACAGGGGCTGGAGGGGCTGGGCAGACCCTCCCGGGGGTGCCTGTGTCCCCCTGGGGGTGTCCCTGCCCTCCCGGTGCCACCTGTGTCCCTCCGGCCGTGTCCCCGTGCCCGCCCCGCTCACCTGGAAGGCGCGGCGGGCGCGGGCGTCGTGCGGGTCCCCGCGGAGCCAGGGCCGCCGGGGCTCGGGGAAGCGCTGGCCCTGCAGGCTGGCCCCCAGCGTGTCGATGTAGAAAAAGGCGAAGTCGCCGCCCGTGAGCCCCTCGCTCTCCGCCTGCAGCATCAGCTCCCGCAGCGTGTCCGGGGCGCAGCACACGTACACAACTGGGGGGGACACGGCCCTTGGAGCCGCGGCCCCCGGCAGCCCAGAGACCCCAGCCCCACAGCCAGGGAGTCCCCGGTAATTGTGTGATGTGGGCCCGAGCCCCCCAGCACCGCTGGGAGACCACTGGAGACCCCAGCCCCGCAGCCCGGGGGTCCCCGGCCGTTGCGTGACGGGAATGGGTCACGGTGCCCCCGGGGCGGGGGGTCCCGACCCCGCTGCCGTTCCCCCCCCGTGCCCTGCCCGGCGCTGCCCTCGGCGCCAGGCCGAGGTTTCCTGTTTTCCCGACTCCGTTTCCTCCTCCCCGCGGCCCTGATGGATTCCCGGCGACACCGTGACCCCGGGGGTGCCGCCTGGCCCCCGCCCGGCCCGGGGCTCCCGGGACCGGCCGGGGCTGGAGCAGCTCCATGGAGGGGGACAGAGGCAGCCCGGGACACCGGGACAGGTGACAACACCCCGAGACCCCGGTGGGACACGGAGTGGGGAGGGGTCCCGGGGGCCCCGGGGGTCCAGGGGTGGGGCAGGGGCAGCGAGGGGGTGTGCGGGACACGCGTGTACGGGTGTGACAGGCGCGTGTGCTGCTGAGAACAGCCGGGAACAACCAAAAACAACCAAAAACAACCAAAAACAACCGAGAACAATCGGGAACACCCAAAAATAACCGAGCACAGCAGAGAACAGCCAAGAACAGCCGAGAACAACCGAGAACAACCAAAACCAACGGAGAACAGCCGAGAACAACCGAGAACAGCCGAGAACAGCCAAGAACAACCGTGGACAGCCGTGTACAGCCGCGCACAGCTGTGTGCAGATGTGCGCGGCTGTGACACCTGTGAACAGCCACGTCCAGCTGTGAACAGCTGCGAAACCCCCGCGTAAAGCTGTTCTCAGCCCCGTCCGGCCACAGAAACCCCCGGAGAGCTGTGAAACAGCCCGGAACCCCCGCGGGAAGTCGCGCACAGCCGCGTCCGGCCACGGACACCTGTGGACACCCCTGAAATGTCCGCGTGCAGCCGGGCACACCCAGGAACACCCCCGTAAAGTTGTGCACAGCCATGTATGGCCGCGAAACACCCTCCCGGAACACCCAGCCTGGCACACCGAGCCTGGCACCGGCGCGGGGCCGCGCATTCCCGTGCGGGGCCGCGCACTCCCCGTCCCCCTCCCCGCTGTCCCCGGCTCTCACCGCGCCCCTTCGCCTTGATCTCCTGGATGATGAAGGAGAAGTTGCCGCCGTCGCGGAACACCACGTCCATGACCGTGAGGTTGCGCAGGGCGGGCAGCTGCACGTACAAGCCCTCGGCGGCGAAATAATAGGGCCGGTCGTCCACCCGCTCGTCCCAGTACACCAGAAGCGCCCGCCGCGTCCAGTTGAAGCGCCGGTGCAGCTGCACGCCCAGCTCGCCCAGTTTGCGGTGGCTGGGGCCGGCGCGGGTGGTCAAGCCGAACTCCTCGCTCTTGTCGTCGAAGCCGTGGGCTTCGGCCCCCGCCGTGACCAGCGGCAGCTGCCAGTGGCTGGTGAACCGGGCCACCGGCGCCGCCGAGTAGACGCACCCCGGCCCCAAAAACGCGGCGGGGGGATGGGCGAGCCGCAGGTCCACGGCCACCAGCGGCGCGGCCATTTCCGAGCAGACCCCGTGGCGATCCTCGCTGTCGCCGAACACCCAGCCCAGGGTGAAGCCGGGCAGCAGATCCCGCCGGGAATTGACGGCGGCCGCGGCCAAGCGCACGGCGGGTCCCACGCGCGGCCAAGCCCACGGGTAGGTGAGGTTGTGCTGGGGCAGCACCACGGCGAGGGTCAGCGGGGCCGGGGCCGTCACCGCACCCGGGAGCAGGGCCAGGAGCGGGGCCAGGAGCGGGGCCAGGAGCGGGGCCAGCACCGCCAGCATCGCCCACGGACGGAGAGTGGCTTCCCCCCCCCCCGCGGCGGGGCTGAGCCCTTGCTCGCCCCCCCCACTGGTGACACAAAGGGCCGTTATCATCCACACCGAGCTTAACTCCTTCCTGCCCGCTCCCCCCACGGCATTCCAGCCGGGACGGGCGGCGGATGGGGCCGCCCGCTGGCGGGTGCGGATATTCCCGATATTCCCACCCGTGGGGCGGTGCGACGGGGTTTGGGGCGGGGGGCGATGTGCCGGGATTTGTCCCCTCCGTGCGCTGGGTCCCGGCGGCCGCCGCCACCCGGGTCACGCGTGGGGCGCTGAGAGCCGAGAGGATCATTGGGGTGCAGGGGACATCCCGAGCCGCGGACCCCGCGCTGTCCCCACGCAGCCCCGGGGCCTTCGCGCAGCCCTGGGGGACCCGGGGGGGGGGCTCGGACACCTCTGGCCGCCCCCGTCCGTGGGAGGTTGCGCCCCGCGGTGGGGTCCCGGCAGCCCCACGGCAGCGGGGGTGACCCCGGAGATGCCACTCGGGGGATGCTGGGGACGCTGGCAGCGCTCGGGGGACACGCGCGGGTGGGGACACACACGCAGGGGGACGCGCGCAATGGTCCGGCCACGGCGCACCCGCAGCTCCCGGGGGCGCGCGCGGCGCTCGGGGACGGGGGTGGGGGCGGGTTGGGGTGACACCCGTGACGCCGGTAACCCCCACGCTGCTGCCGACTCGCCGAGCGAGACAAGCCTGGAAAAGCATCACGGGGCATTCCTTAAGTGAACGTAGCAAATAAAAAAATGTTGACGAGCAAAACAAAGCTCGCGTGGGAAGAAAAATTGCTGCTAGCAGAGGATGGTTTCGATCCATCGACCTCTGGGTTATGGGCCCAGCACGCTCCCGCTGCGCCACTCTGCTGCTGGCCGCCAACTGCCGCCGCGCGCTTTACAACCTCGGGCCGCGCGCTCCATTCATGGGCTCCGAGCCCCCTCCAGCGGCCACCCGGTGCGCCCCGCCATTGGCCGCTCCCCGCTCTGATTGACGCGCCGCTCCACCAATGGGTGCCGGCGGAGCCCCCGCGGGGGGCGGGCAGCGGGAGAGCGGCGGCCAATGGGAGGGCGGGTTGCTGCGGGGTCTGCGAGCGGCGCTTCATTGTCGGGAACGGCGGCGACATGAGGTGGGGACTCCGGCACCGGGGGGAACACACCGGCACCGGGGGGAACACCGGCACCGGGGGGAACACCGGCACCGGGGGGAACACACCGGCACCGGGGGGAACACCGGCACCGGGGGGAACACACCGGCACCGGGGGGAACACCGGCACCGGGGGGAACACACCGGCACCGGGGGGAACACACCGGCACCGGGGGGAACACACCGGCACCGGGGGCACTCCGGGATTAGCGGAGGAAGTGGCGGGAGAACCGGGAGCGGCGGGAGCGGCACCGGGGAGAGACCGGGACTGGGGGCTGCGGGAGCGGGGCGGGGGAACGGGAAGAGAGCGGCGGGAGCGGGGAGAACAACCGGGGGATACCGGGAATGGTGTGAACCGGGGGACACCGGGAGCGAGGGGAACCGGGGGATCGGGAGCGAGGGGAACCGGGGGACACCGGGAGCGAGGGGAACCGGGGGATCGGGAGCGAGGGGAACCGGGGGATCGGGAGCGAGGGGAACCGGGGGGGGCGGCGGGGCCGGGACCGGGGCCGGGGGACCGGGGCTCGGAGCCCCCCGTCACCGCCGTTCTCTCCCCGCAGGGGCGATCGAGGCCGCGGCCGCGGCGGCCGCTTCGGCTCCAGGCGAGTCCCGGGGCCCCGCATGTCGCGACAGGACCGTGTCGTGACGGGGGCGGGAGGGGGGGTGTCTGCGGGCCCGGGGAATGAATCGGGGTTTTCTCTCCCTCTCAGGTTCCGGCCCTTTGTGCCCCACATCCCCTTCGATTTCTATGTCGTGAGTAACTCCTGCCCCGAGGGCCGTTCCGGGAATTTTCCAGGACTTTTCCAGGGTTAACGATTCCCCCATCCCCGATTTTCGGGGGTTGGGTTCTCCTGGTGTGGCTGGGCGGAATGAATTCCCTCAAAACGCTGTTGGTTCAGTAAAAAACCCCCAGGGGGTTTTTCTCCTGTTGGAAATGGGATAATGGAAGGCACTGGAGGAATAATGACAGGAATCACTCCAGGATTGGGGTTTCTGGGATTACAGCAGATAAATCCCTGTGTTTGTCCCCTCTCAGGTGGTCATGTGCCCGTTTCCCAGCTTTCCCAGGAGGAAATCATTCCCTCTTCCCAAATCCCCTGAGCGTTCCGCTCTCTGGACGGGTGACCCCAGTGCCCTGGGGCTGCAGACAACGGGGGTTAATGAGTTAACCCAGTAAATTCTTTAATAGTGTTAATAAAATCCTCTGGATGTGCCCCGGAGCCGCGCAGGTGGGAGCTCCTGGACACCTGTGCAGGCTGCCAGGAGGGGAGGATGAAATCCCGCTGGGAATTCCGTTCTGTTCCAGTGTGAGATGGCGTTTCCACGCGTCAAACCCGCGGCGGACGAGACGGCCTTCAGCGAGGCTCTGCTCAAGAGGAACCAGGATCTGGCTCCCACCGCTGCCGAGCAGGTGCCGTGCCCAAAATCCCCCCAGCTCCTCGGGATGGGGGAATCCAAAGCTCTTCAGGAGTGGCCTAAAAATGGATGATTTCTCTGGCATAAGCACCTTGGAGGAGTTTGGTGGGGAATAACACGGGTTCTGTGCTCTGCGAACGGGATTGCTCCTGGATGATCCCTGTCCCGTTCCTTCCCAGGCTTCCATCCTGTCCCTGGTGACCAAGATCAACAACGTCATCGACAATTTAATTGTGGCCCCGGGAACGTTTGAAGTGGTGAGTGCAGAGCTTGGGAAGGAGCTGCAGCGGGAGGTGCTGGAGGAGGCCCAGAGCGGACCGGGAGAACGGGGAGGTGCTCCTGGCCCAGGGCGGGTTAAGGATCGATGCAGCCCCGCCAGACGTGGAATGTGGGTTGATTTCCCGGGATTTTGGGTTGTTTTCTCCGCCAGCAAATCGAGGAGGTTCGCCAGGTGGGCTCCTACAAGAAGGGGACGATGACGACGGGGCACAACGTGGCGGATCTGGTGGTGATCCTGAAGATCCTGCCCACCTGTGAGTGCCATCCGGGCGGGACGGGAGCGGCCCTCGCTGCCAGGGCCCGCTCCAACCCTTCTCCTTTTCCTCCTTTTCCGCAGTGGAAGCCGTGGCAGCCTTGGGGAACAAGGTGGTGGAGAGCCTGCGGGCGCAGGACCCCGGGGAAGGTGCGGCCGCGCTCCGGAGCGTGGCGGGCTGCGATCCACGGCCGTTCCCGTGGAGATTCCCAGCCCCTCCACGCGGAATTCCCGGTGTTTCCCCGCAGTCCTGACCATGCTGACCAACGAGACCGGCTTCGAGATCAGCTCGGCCGACGCCACCGTGAAGATCCTGATCACCACGGTGCCGCCCAACCTGCGCAAGCTGGACCCGGAGCTGCACCGTGAGCGCCCGGCCGCGCCTCCTCCCGCCCGCGGCCGCGGCCGCGCCCGCCCGCCAAAACCGGCCATTTCTGCTTCTTGCAGTGGACATCAAGGTGCTGCAGAGCGCCCTGGCCGCCATCCGGCACGCGCGCTGGTTCGAGGAGAACGCCTCGCAGTCCACGTGAGTCCGGGGCCGCATCCAGATCCCGAATCCCGGGAACACGGGGAGCGCTCCCGGCGCGGGACCGACGCTCCTCCCGCCTCTGCCGCAGGGTGAAGGTTCTGATCCGGCTGCTCAAGGACCTGAGGATTCGCTTCCCCGGCTTCGAGCCGCTCACGCCCTGGATCCTGGACCTGCTGGTGGGGCTCGCTGACGTGGTGCCAACGCCCAGCCCGGCAGGAGCCGGGATTCTCTCACCCCAGGCTGGGATTCTCGTTCTCCCTGCCCTCATTCCTGTTCCTTTCCCCCTGCAGGGGCACTACGCCGTGATGAACAATCCCACCCGGCAGCCCCTGGCTCTCAACATCGCCTACAGGTCCGTGGCGTCGCCTCCCTCGCAGGAATTCCCACCGCGGCTCCGTTTTCCCCGTAAAACCGTTGGGATCTCGGGGGCTGACTGGGAGATAAACCCAGCTCACCCAGCTGGCGCTTCCCGCTGGTGTTTTTGCTGGAAGGACGCGCTTTTAACCCAGAATGTTTCGTCTGCAGGCGCTGCCTCCAGATCCTGGCGGCCGGGCTCTTCCTGCCCGGCTCCGTCGGCATCACGGATCCGTGCGAGAGCGGCAACTTCCGCGTGCACACGGTGATGACGCTGGAGCAGCAGGTGAGGAGGGGTCCCCGAAGGGGAGGGGACACGGGGGGTGCTCCCTGTCCCCACACTGAGCCGTCCCTGTCCCCAGGACATGGTGTGCTACACCGCCCAGACCCTCGTCCGCATCCTCTCCCACGGAGGATACCGGAAAATCCTGGGGCAGGAGGGCGACGCCAGCTGTGAGTGGGGCTGGGGGTGTCAGGGTGGGGAGGGGGCTGGGGTCCCCGAGCGGGTCCCCAGGGTCACCTCTTGGGGCAGACCTGGCGTCCGAGATGTCCACGTGGGACGGGGTGATCGTGACGCCGTCGGAGAAGGCGTACGAGAAACCTCCGGAGAAGAAAGAAGGGGAGGAGGAAGAGGAAAACCAGGAAGAGCCAGCGGCGGGCGAGGAGGAGGAGAGCATGGAGACGCAGGAGTGAGGGACAGGGGACACCGGCCGAGGGACACCAGAGGGTCTGGGCCCCTCCTCGGTCACCTGACGTGTCCCTGTCCCTGGTTTGTAAGCTGCACATTAAAGTGTTCCCCCTTTCCAGCGTGTCCTGCTTGTTCTGCTCCATGTGGGATAGATGGGAATGAGGCAGGTGGAACGGCAGCAGAAGAATCCAAGACTTGAAGGAGCCACCTGGGGCTGCCCAGACCCCACTTGGGGCAGCCCAAATCCCACCTGGGCCTCCTAAATTCCACCTGGGGGTGTCCAAATCCAACCTGGAGGTGCCCACACCCCCCCGGCTCTGTTGTCCCCAAGGTCCCTCAGGGATGCGGGAGCATCACGGACTCTCGGTCACTTTTATTCCAGCGCCCACAAACCTGGGAACGCGGCTCCAAGCGTCCCGGTTCCCTGGGCTGCAGGTGATGGGGGAATTCCCGAGCTGGGATCAGCAGGGATTCCTGCTCACTTGCCCTGGTAGCCCCCGGCCTCCAGCATCGCCCTCCTCCGCACCGTCTCCTTGGCCACGCTGTGGTTCAGCCTCCGCAGCCGCTCCTGGACACGGCACGAGTCCCCTGTCAGCACCTGGGGGGCTCAGGGACCCCCAAAAGGCGCCGTCCCCCCTCACCTGCGCGTTCTGCAGGATGTTGTTGACCAGCACCACGCGGCGCCGGGCGTTCAGCAGCTTCTTCACGTAGGGGTCGAGGTCCAGCGCCACTTTCTGGTCCTCGTTGATGCGGCAAAGCTCTGGGGAGGGGTTTGGGTGAGCCCCCAGAGCGAGGGAGGGGGACAGGGGTGACCCCCCGGCTTTGGCTCACCTGTGGCCAGGCTGTCGATGTGCTCCCGCAGCTCCACCTGGCTCTCCCTGTGGGAAGGGAACAGCTAAAACCCCGCATCCACCCCCAAATCCACCCCTATCCATGGGGCCTGCACACCCAGCGCCCCCCAGCACTGCCCACCTCACGCGCCCCCAAAACCCTCCAGCCCCACAAAACGGCCCTTCCCGGCTCTACCTGCCCCTCAGCCTTTCAGCCCGGCCCCGGCCCGCTCCCGCGGCCGCTGTCGCTGCCGGTACCTGACGCTGTGGACGTGGCGGTCGAGCTGTCGCACCGCGGGCCGCAGGAACTGCAGGAGCCCCTCAGCAAAGAGCTCCCGCGCCCCGGGGCCGCTCCCCGCCGCCATCTTGGCCCAGGGGCGCCACAGGGGCTGCCGGGAAAGCGAGTCCGCGGGGAGCGGGAGAGGCCGCTTCCGGTGGGCGCCGCGGGGGCTCGTGGGAAATGTAGTCGCAAGGGAAGGTGCGAGGCACAGCTGGACGCACCGCTGGAAACACATCTGGCGGCACAGCTGCGCTGCTGAGCGTCCGTCAAAGGCGCTGACACACCCAGGCCACAGACCCCCGACCCCATCCATTGGGGTTAAAACAACACGGGGTTGGTCCTCTCACCTTGTTTTTTTGGCTGTTTTATAACCCTCTTTTTGGTTTATTTTCATACAAAAGTTAAACCAGGAGGTGGAAATGGGCGCCGAGGGCCACGCTTCACCCAGGCCACAAACCCCGACCCTATCCACTAAATAACTGCTAAACCAACACATTTTTGGTCACTTTGCTTCATTTTTTCCTCTTCTTTTTCCTCTTTTTTTGGCTGCTCCTTCCAGGAGTCAGGCGTGGGCGTCGGGCAGGGCGTGCAGGACGTGGTCCAGCAGCTGCAGGGCGCGGTGCAGGTGCACCTCGATCCAGCAGGGCGTGCAGGTGATGCTGGCCCGGGGGTAGTCGGGCCCCCAGCCCTTGACGAAGCTCAGCCTAACGAGGCACAGGCGCCGCAGGTCGTCCACGCCGAGCCCCGCGGCCACCGACAGCCCTGGGGGGGGTGCCACGGTCATCACGGGGGTCCCAGCCCGCCCTGGGGTCACTCACGGAGGGTGGGTGGCCACTGCCAGCCCCAGGGGGCACGCGGTCATGGCGGGGGTCACTCACCGATGGCCGGGGCGATGCCACCCACCGAGCCAGGCCCGGGGATGCTGCCGGCCACAGCAGCGGCCTGAGCGGTGGCCGCAGCCTGGGCAGTGGCCGCCTGCTGCTGCATCTGCCGGTGGCACAGCCGCAGGTCAAACACCTGGGGGGACACGGGGGGACCCCTGAGCACGGCGGCTTTGGGGTGCGAGGTACCCCAGGGCCCCCTTCGGCGTGGCCACGGGGGTCCCTCCATCCCTGCGGTGCTTCCACTGCTCCCCCACCTGCCCAGAACCCCCTAAAACCTGACCCCCCCCACCCCTCCTGGGGACCCCCGGGGTCCCCGACCTTGATGTGTGCTCCGGGGTACACCTTGTGCACGGCGTCCCCGGGGGCTCTGCCGGCCTCCCTGTCCAGGTAGAAGCTCTGCACGAACACGGCGTGCTCGCTGCGGCAGCGCATCCACACGTCTCCCTCTCCGCGCCGCTCCAGCTGCACCCCCTTCCCGATGTGCAGCCTGTCCGAGACCCTCAGCAGGGACCCCCACAACAGCCCCC